AGGGAAGAGAGAGAGAAGAGAGAGAGAGAGCACAAAGAGGGAGCGCAGAGAGAGAGCACAGAGGGAGAGCATAGAGAGAGAGCGTCCTTGGGGGTAAGAATGCGTAAGTGTTGGTGTGCGTGAGAGGGGAAGATAGAGCCAGAGGAGAGAGAGAGGGACTGAGACCGAAAGTGTGAGTGAGTGGGTCAAGGAAAGAGAGGGAGAATAGGGAGACAAAACGAAGGAAAGAAGAGCGTACTCGCTGATCTTCAGAGATACACGGACTCGGAGTCCCCGCTCGATTGATAGGTCGCAATATATATATAGTAAAAAAATAAATAAATAAAAATAAAAATAATAATAATAAAAAAAAAAATAAATAATATTTTCGATCAGATTTTATTGCTCCACTGCATTGGTGAATACTCGAGGTACAGCCCTCAACGATCCCCTGATATTACTCTTTCTCATTATGTGAAGAGTAATTGAGTCGCTGCTCACAACAGAAAAGGGGGGTATGGCTGAGAATCTTCTCATACACTAGCGAAGGAGCAATATTCCTTTTGGTTCATTTGGTGGGGAAACCCATCCCGCATCGAGCAAGAGCGAACTGCATGGAAGTGTACCCATCCCTATTACCTGGCCATTGATACGCCCAAGTGGGTAGCTCTCATGGAAGACCTTGGGTGGAGGAGACACGAACGGGTCTACGTGTGCATCCAAATTTATGTCATATTAATTTGTTTACTCGAGACAGCGCACGGACCTGGCCAGCACCTTGTGTCATGATGGAGTATACAAAGCTTACCAATCACCGGGGGAGAGTGAGAGAGAGAGGACAGCGAGAGTGAGAGAGAGAGGACAGCGAGAGTGAGAGAGAGAGAACAGCGACAGAGAGTGAGAGAGAACAGCGGGAGAGAGAGAACAGAGAGAGAGAGAGAGAAAGAGAACCGGGGGGGGCACATCCAAGGTTGACTCCAAAAACTCGCTACTGCGCCCGTAGCTAATTTGCCAGTTGACTGTTGAAGCGTACTGTTGCGGGAACTCGTTGAACTGTCGATTGGCTGTTGAAACTCACTTTTGCTTGAACTTGCTGAGTTACTAGCCAGCTATTGAAACTCACCGTTGAGTGAACTCGCTGAACTGTTGATTAGCTGTTAAACCAGTCGGCTGTTGAAACTTACGGTTGTGTGAACTTGTGGTATTACCAATTGACCGTCGAAACCCCTTGCTGTGTGAAGTTGCTAAATTACAAAAAGAAAGAAAAAGAAAATTGGAAGCGTGATAGGACGCCGCAAGTTTCGGTTCCTGCTGGTCGCCGAGGACCTCGGAAGCGGGCGCGGCCGGTGACAGACGCCGTTGCCCTTGGCTTCAGCAAACGATAGGCGCCCCTCCCCGAGTTTCCTCACAATTTTGGCGCCGTTGCCGAGGAGGGGAGCAACACCCCCAAGGCTGTGGCCTTCCCCAATTAACGGGGGTGCGCGGGCTGATTAGTCCATGCACTAATTAGTTCGTTTTCTTGATTAGCTCTGTTTTTTATTAATTTCTAAAGTAGTTATTTTTTTAGATATCTTGTAATCCGCGGATTTTCTCGCGAAGAACGCAGAGACCAAAGTTTGTTCTCTCGAGGAGACGAACGTTATGAGACGTATCTTGCTTAATCTAAGAACAAGAAGTTGTAGTGGCTGCCTCCTTTTTAAAAGGATCAGCTGCCCGCTGGTTAAATGGCTTAGTGCAGCAAC